CGATTTTACAATCTTAAAATAAAATCTTCATATAAGCTTAAGCATTTACAATATAACTTAGAACCAGTTTTTGTAACACTACTACAAAATAATAAATTAATTACAGTATAATACAATACAATGTACAATAGATTTTCTCTTTACTAAATTAATTTTATAACTTTATTATTATAAATTTAATTATCTCTGAAATTACTTTATCACAAGCTGGCATCAAAATTAGTATTGACGCAGAGCTGTCCAAGCTCTGATTGGTTTAAGCACATAATTATCTTAAATCAGATACGCGTCACTTAGGTACCATAATAGATAATACGCGTACACTCATCCATGACTTGCATGATAGTCACTTAAATACATTTCTATAAATACATTATATTCCTTTAAAGGAAAGTAAATCTTTTGATCTTTTATGCTTACTGTTATATTGGTATCATTATTTAATCATTTACACAAATCGAGTGGTAAAATGTAAATATTAAAACACATGTTTGCTAATAATGTTTAATATCACAAGCTATAAATAACATAAACAAGCTTTTGAGGGGAAAAAAACCCCCCTTAGAATATTCATATGTTTAATAATACGAACACGAACATTAGCTGTTGTCGGGAAATTCAGCTGCCATCTAGACCTACTATAAATTGATCTTTACTATTTTCGGTAAACTAACTAGATATTTATTCTATTAATAAAACATGAGTACAGATTTGGGAGTCGTTTGAGCTGTTTATACAACTGTTTTTAGAGTTCCCTTGTTTTCAGGCCCAAAAACATTAGTAGCAACTTTAACTTAACACCGAGAAAAACAACTAATGTACACTGTAAAACAAAATTGTCACTATTATCATCACCATCAGAGCCACCAATCGACAGTTATGCTTTTAATAAGATGGTAAATGGTAAGTCAATAGGTCAATCAAAAAGACGATAAACAAAAATCAATAATTAGTCACACCATTTTTTGCAGATGCAGCTAATTTATTTTGCAAACTAAAATGTTAAAAAAATGCCATAAAAATAATCCTTTTAGAAAGGAAACCCTTTTACAAAAAGATAGCTTAAATATTCAAAACATTATCTTCACATTTCTTGCATTAGACATTTATTTTTTATATCTATGTACACTACACATTTTACAGTATAATTTCACCTAAAATTCACATCCTTTCGATAGAAACAGTTCTCAACCAAAACTATAATAAAACATTAACAAAATTTTTATCAATAATAATAATAATAATAATAATAATAATAATACTGTAAATAATTCCAATTGCAGGATAAAAAGGCAGAGCATGCCAGTAAAAAATATTACGTCATACGTAATAAAAAAGGTCGATGGTATTGAATTTATAACGATTGTAGAATAAATATTTAAAAAAGGTAGTCCATATTCATTACTGAATATAGGGAATGTGCTGTTAGCCCATGCCTCGGCATTGTGTGGTAGGGTGGTCAATTTATTTCCACGCCACATTTTTCCTCCCCTGAATCAGGTACCTATTTATACTCCTGGGTGGAGAGAGACAATCGTAGGTAAATTACCTTGTCCAAGAACACAAGCGAAATGCACAGCAAAAGTTTGAACGCCGACCTCGATGTTAAGGTACTGAAATGAAACCTCTGCGCCAACCACTCCCACTATTATTATATTAAATATAAAAGTATGCTGTATTATAAATTGAAAAAAAAAAACTCTGCCAGAAAAACAACTTGTATCAGCTGTCTTTGCTATATCTATGCTTTCATTATTACTAATGCACATTATTACTAATGCACATTAATACAATGCAACATTTTACATAATAGAAATAATAGCTAGACAAGAAATGTTCAAACCCCCGACAGAAATGGGTATGAAGTAGCTTGTTATGCCTATATGCCTCAATTTGTTTGGTGTCTCACACATTAACAAAGGTAGCTACAATCACCTAGGCCACTTGACATTTGTTAAAACACTATTTAAATACTTGTTCATCAATACTTGTCTTGGGCCTTCTTCTGGATTATAAATTATAAATTTCTAGGTCAGTATTTTGGAAATATATATAATCTGGATAATCAATCTTGGTTTCAAGAAACAGGTTTAATCCAGGACAAGGGCTAACTAGCCCAAAACTATAAGGTTAATCCTGGACTTTAAATTTGGTCTACTAAGAAAATGCAAACCCATAGTTCAGTAAAAAAAAATTAATTTAAAAAAGAATTTAAAAACATATATATTAAATTACAGATAATTACAAAGAACATGATATAGCGGACAAAGCCAACATGTGACATTAAATTGTTCAAGAACTATTGAGGAGATGTTTCTTATTAATTTTTAAACGTATTAATTTTCAAACAGCAAAATAATTGAAAAAAAAAATGAGCCATAAAAATATGTTGGGTGTATATATTCACTCTTTTATATATATATATATATATACACACACACTAATTTGTATAATGTGCAATTTACAAGCATGTTTATATAAAAAGTAAGACATGCCAGCAAGTAACATTTCAACCGCTCAAAGGTCGGAGGTCAATGCGGACCTTCTCTCCCATGCTCATCATGCCTATAGATGGGAAGAATCCACCTTGCGGTATCCGCACTTCTCTTCTTCCAATTGTTTTACCATTTCTAGTGAAAAAGACCTGGAAAGATATGTATAGGTTTCTTATGTCACAGTATAAAAAAAAGTCATTGCTATTTATCATCTCTTTGTAAGTTTACGGATGAACTTAAAAAAAAAAGAAAGAGAGAAAATACAAGTTAGATTATTCAAGATGTTTCATTGTTATTGAAACAGGAATTAGGTCTGTATCAAAAATAAATTAAAACTTAGATTTTTCGAATTTTTAAGAAGCTCAATTTTTAGTTTTCGTAAGCGACAGCTTTATAGCAGAAACATGCTTGTTTCCATTTTTATATGTAAATATGTGGACAGTTCTGCTGTACACTTTGGCCTAGTCCTTTAATTATTTCAAAGAGGTTCACAATTGTTTTGTGCGCAGTTCAATCAGTTGATTGATTTTTTTCTCTTGTCTTGTTTTTTTTTATATTATATGGATATCAATTGTCTGAAATAAAAGAATTGAATTGAATTCCAATGATGATAATGAATGGTACACCAGTCCATGGTAAATTTGTAATACGATACATATACCCTTTTTTTATATATATACTATGCAATTTTTCTATTATGTTGATCAAAGATATGGAAAAATGTATACCTGCTACTAAATTAAACAATATAATTATGGAAACAGATGTATTTATTCAACAATAGAACAATATTTTTTTCTGAAAATCACAAAACAAAATAAAAAAAAAAAAACAAACCTGGACACTAATTCCTTGGCTTTGCAAATCCATTAGTTCTTCATTTAGTAAGTCTTGATCATCGTCCTCATACTGACCTCTAGGGTAGATAAGGTTGAGTTCAGCAAGCCCGTATAGAGCTTCTCTTGGGGGTAAAACTGACACCGCCCCCTCTTCTTCTTCACCATCTTTATCTTCACTGAAAGAAGAAATAAATTTTTTTTTAAATGTTGTGGTGATATTATCATCATCAAAATCCCTCTTGTAATTTGAAAAATCTTTCCTTTATATTATTACTTATGCTATTTGCTTCTGTCTTGGACATGATAGTTTTGTGTTTTGTCCATTGGGGCGTGCCATGCCAAAACCAGCAATAGTGACAAAAACATGAAAATTGACATTCTAATATACTAATATTATTCTCCACATTATAATAAGCCATTAAATGATATGTCATTTACTGGAATCGGCTTACTATTGCCAAAGTTACGAAGTACTACAGCTTCTCTGTACTGCCACATCCTTATGTTAATTACTCTGTTTAACGATTACCAACAGTATGCTTGTTTTAGTATGGCAAGCCTCAAATATGTTCAGTTATATTTTGTTTAGGCTATGTTAATATTGGTCTCTTGATTGCTTTGTCAGTGATAACAGCAAAATATATAATGTGATGAGCACTATTTTCAGATTAAAAAACAATAATTTTTTCATGGAAAGCAGTATCCTGATTGGTAGGTTTTTCACCCTCGTAAAGATGATTTTTTTAAATATATAAATAAACAAAATTTATAACATGATATAGAAATATGTTAAAATGATAATGAAGTGGAAATCTGTAGTATAGTAACACTGTCAAAAAATTGCCTAATCTCGCACCAAATTCAAATATTTGAACGATAAGTACAGCTAATTGAATAGATATGAACTCACTCATCAAATTGATAATCCCTTGGAAACATCACCCCACATCCCATAATATCACCTTTGTAACACCTGGGACCAAATGGATCACCTTGCCCTACACCATTGAATAATTTTCCATCATCTACAAGAACAAAGTCAATTATGAATTCAAATTTTTCAGTTACATTCAAATTCTCATCAGTTATTTTATATGATACAATAAAACATCATTGTCGCAACGGTACAGTCTAAGATTTGGTTCCTTGAAGTATACCTGTGTTAACAAAAAAACATTATCTATACATCATGAGACAGATTATACATAAATAAAGGAAGATGAAATAAATAGAATGTATGAATTATGGTGATACTTATAGGAGTGAATCAAGTTAACTTTATGGGTCAATCCACTGCTTTATATATAGTCAGACAGCTGATGGGATAAATGACATCTAGAATTTGTTTTTCATCATGCTTGTATGAAGTTAGCTGTCAAGTCATATTTACAGGTCATGGCATATTGGATCGGGTAGGTAACATTAAAAATTTTTGGACACCCTCTAATAACAAATACATATTCTAAGAGTTTAAACAAAAAATGTACACTTATTTGCTTTGATGACAATCTTAATTAGTTTTTAAATATTTAATCTGAACTTACGTACCATATCATAATGCAGAGTGATAAACATCTTGATGATTATTATAGGTGATGATAATCATGATGATAATGGTGATTATGATCTAATAGGATGATGATGATGATAAAGATGACAATGATTATGATTAATATGGCTATTATCATGTGTGACTGTAGATTTTAACACAACGATTTAAATTGTAAGTTTGTGCATTACTGTTTTTCTATTTTAATGTAATAATGATTACAAAAACTATTTATTTTTCTAAATTTTAACAGTTGAGTGCCTCTGTGGAAATTATTTTTTATCACACTGTATTTAAAATTATTTAGGATATCACAGATGGTATATCTTTCACTCTCATAACGGAGGCAATATTAGAAAATAAATTGCATACACCAGTGTACACTAACCTGCATGGTACGCTATGGAGCCATAATTCCAACCAGGATGACGTGATTTTGGATAGTTACGTCGTGCTAGGCCTATAGCAACGTAACAGCTTTTACCAGGGTCTATTATCTCTAATTCGAAGTAGTGATTTGTTGGTGTGACTGGCTTTCTAGCCTGGGCTAGTCCTACATCTGTTGTGGACTTTCCTCTTCCCATGTACGATAAAAACTGAAAAACACAGAAAATTACATACGTTATATAATGGGATCAATTGGTATAACCAAATTTTCTCAAAGGACTTAAAATAGAGGTCCTGTGTGCCCATCTGGCTCGTGCACTTTTAAGAACACATTACATCTTACGGTAGAGCAGGGTGTTACCCTGATGCTGTGGTTCATGTCAGCCCCTGTCATTGCCCAATGATGTGAACATATAGCTGCTACAAGCGCCTCTTTACGGTGGCTAGGTGGTCACAGACCACGCCCATATGCAATTCAGCACAACGGGTTATTCGCTTACCCTACCCTTTACCAATGAATAGCTACTGTTATTACTAACATTATTCTCAACATTATTATTTCATTTTTTTCTTTCATGATGGTCAAATGGCAAATAACTTGAGGCCAGATATAACTAGCCATCTGACTAAAAGTGTCTAATAAAATGTGTTCCGTATTATTACTATTACTATTACATTTTATTGATTGTTTATTTGGTTGTTGCTGATTTCATATATCCATGCTACCATTTAAAAAATAAATAAATAAAGTCATACCTTTTCTGTAGAGCATGTCCATAACAATATTAACAATTATTATTATCATTATTATTGAAGAAAAATACATTTAAACTTATTACACAATGAGATTAACCATTTTGTGCACTCTAAAATTATACTATCTTCATTCAGCACCACCAAACATTACTTCATGTGATATATTTTGATGCTATACAGGTTATTTCAATTGATAGATTGATTGATAATATGGAATATATTACTGACCATTACTATTACTATACTATTGCTATTAATATTGCTACTATACTATTACTATTAACTATTATAATTATTATAATTATAATAATAATAATTATTATTATTATTATCATATCATTACTATCAATTTAAAGTCCGCAAGTAATCCATGCTAGCATGGGTTAGACTGTTCACATTGCTAGCTTTCCTTGCACGGCTTTCCTTGTGTAGTTACACGGCTTATTCTTAGCTTACGGAGATCACTGGTAACAACTTGCACCCAAGTCTTCCTAGGTATTTGGACCTCTAAACTTCCATCACCCTACACTTCTTGACCCACTACACTATTATTATTATTATTATTTATAGTAAAATGCATCAAAAACCCAAGGCTCAATGTAAAATACTATCAATTCAATGTATTAATATGTAATTATTTGCATAGCTTCTTACGGGTCCATTAACTTCAACATCGTGCAGCCTAGCCCAGTCCTCCTCGCAACTATCCACCACCATCTCCTCCACCATGCTGGGGCCATCGGCCTGCAAATGGACCTGTACACGATCACCAGCTGTTTTGAAAGAGATGGCAGGAAAAAGCCCACAAGCTGGAAACTCAACATCTTGGCTTGCAATCTGTTGACATAATATTATGAGAAATTACTTTGATATAGATATTTATTTTCTGTACACACAACAAGTAACTCTCGTCATGATGCTTTAAAATAGATCTTTTACGCGAAATTTGAAATGAAAATTTCCGATCACCTGGCAACCACTACTGGGGGACTTTCAGAGGCCTAACATTTCGCACTACGTATTTACCATCATGGATTAAATCAACGATAAAACTAAATTACTAACGAGCACAAATATTTTAAAAAGGAAAAAAAACATGAAATGTTTATATTGAAAACAAGTCTGTCTTAAACAGCTATTTCAATGTTTACATATATACAGTTATTACAGTAATTAGCAAGATAGTATCAGTTGTCTACTGCTGGTATAGCAAAGGTCTAGCACACAGGTGGGCAAAGTGCGGCCTGACAGCAATTTTTTTGCGGCCCGCGAATATGAAATGAAAACAAGCAACATTGGCTAGAAAAGACTTTGTATTTTACGGCCTGACACCGATCATATGAAAAAAGTAATATTAAAACTGTGAATAAAGTGGTGTAAAAGCAGTGCTTGGAGGTTTTCAGAAGCACACTGGAAAGACCAAAGTTTGGGTGCAACCCTCAGTGTTAAATCAGTAATTCACTTTGGCCTCCGACCGATTTTTATGCCAACCCCTGGTCTAGCGGTACTCTACTTGTAACTAGCCAGCTGCTCAGACTAGGCAGCTGGAAGTCCCCCAGTGAGTTGCAAGACTTTGGCGGCGCGGTTTCAAAATAAGTCCGATAAAATAGTCTATAGAGCTAAGCTGTTTTAAGTATAAAAGAAAGCAATGCGACAAAGCTTGCATAAAGCTCTGTCCAGATCATCAAATCTTCTTTGACAAAATACTGTTGTATGCCCATATATAGTCATGATGTGCCTATATATGGTCATGATGTGATGTCATCATGACCATATTTTGGCATGTCACATGTTTTTGTCAAATAAAATTTGATATAGTATGGACAGGGTATTTTAATAATGATCGACAGTCAGCAGATGGTGTTGCGTAATAAGGCACTCATGCACAGCAAAGATGTAACATGGCTCTAAATAGCACGTAAAGACGATGTTTATAGACCATTTTATTGGATTTATTTTGAAACAGCACCGCCAACGTCTCGCAACTCACTGGGGGACTTTCAGTGGCCTAGCCTGAGCAGCTGGCTAGTTACAGCATGGAGGTATTATTGAGAAGGAGATCACTCGGCAACAGATCCCATTGACGTGACAAACCTATGTGTTCCCCGCTTTTGGATCGCGCGCGGGCGTATTACCCTATAATTCACATTTTTTCGTTAGCAACAACTTGGCAACGACATGCATTTATACGCTTCCAGCAGAGCAGTTGTGCAATCTGTCTCTTATACACATCTGTGGTGTCGAATTGGAGGGTGGGATTGTATTACTTAAACTTTGTAGTTTATCTTGCTGCTTCTTTGACAAAATACTGTTGTATGCCCATATATAGTCATGATGTGCCCATATATAG